CATTCATCTTCTCTAGTCATTGGGCACTCCTTTGTTTCTAGTTTTTTGATACAACAGTATTAATTGAGAAATCATTCATGTTTTATTTATGAACTGGAAAGTTTCCAGATTATACCCTTAAATAAAACTCTTTTGACTGCTGTTGGATGACTAGAATGATACTCAATGCCTTTGAAAAGTTATATGTGGAGGTGAGCTTGACATAGCTCCTTCTACCTTCTTTGTTCTACTTCTTTTTCAAGCTCTCAAATAAAAGGGAAACTAGTTAGCTAATGATTAAGGCTCCAACTCCCAGAATTGTGTTCCTTCCTATTACAGTCTAGAACCTAATATGGAAAATATGACCACTTAACCTTGTGGGTATGAGGGATAAATGAAACATCAGGGTTAGTCCCATGGCATACTTCTACTGGATGGTTTTGTTAATCTACTTATAAATCTGATAGAACAAATGAATTTATCATCCAGCTATATTTATCATTATCTTAGTCTGCCTGCCTGCCTTTCTGTTTATTGAAATCTGGATAGATCTTTTGGCTGACCATTTGAATTTTACCTCTTTCTATTAACTCTCGGGCTAGAGAGTTACACAGGGAATCCCAGAAAAAGGAGGAGGATTTTGCTTCTTAAGTTTAGTTTATTTTTCCTGTTGCCTCAGTGTTTGTGATTGGCCACTCTGGGCTCGAGAGGGGCTTGTTAGAGGCCTAGCCAATGTTCTTTTGGTTGCCACCACCAGACTCTGCTGGTTTTAAGGCAGGTAACGTCAGCCATTGAAGGAATCAAGTGCTTGTGATTTATCACAGTTCTGTTGTTGCCAATGCAAACAATTCCAAAAGTGACATCAAACAAAATATGTTCTTTCAATTTCAATTACTCTTTTTTGCATCAATGAGGTTTGATAAATGCACCAAACTTTTGGTAGCATTGGCTATTTCTTTGTTATTTTTTTTAAATGACCTCTTTGTGGTAGAAGGTTTTTGCGTTGTGAGTCTAAGTTTGGTTTTGTTTTTGTTTTTGCTCTATGGTGGTGTTTTGTAAACAACTTGATTGCTAGGTAGTGGCCTTAGGGAGTCTGCAGCTGCTCCTTCCTGGTTCCCTGTAGACAAATGTACAAAGTGAGGATTGCTGCAGGGAAGAATAAACAGAAGAGAACAAAACTGGAAAATGCCATGTATTTTATTACAGCCTCTACCTGTTTATGTGCCTGAGTTGTTTGGTAAGGATATTCCCTAAACATTTGGTGTCTTATTTTAAAAAGAAAAAAAAAACAATTCTGACAGAATTGAATCTTAAACTTCTCATTCTATGCAGACTGTATTATTTTAAGTAGCCACACAAGTTAACAAGCTGGGTATTATCTACCAAGAGAGTATATGGATTTTAATATGTAAATAGGAATGAGAGAGAGCCTCATGCTTTTTAATGATACCCAGGATAATAATTTGGCTTTTTAAATCTCTATGAAAACAGATTGAATATGGCACAATTAATGTTTCAGCTCTTCTAGCCCTTTTCTGTAAAATATTTGAATGATATTTTCATTTATTACAATTCTTGATTAGTGCCTTGGAATCTCACTACCATGCTGGCCCTCCAGCACGTGCTGCAGGGCATGTGGCAGAAGCCACGTCTTTGCCAACACTCACCCCTGCTGGATGGGCTTTGTCCTAAAGCGCCCCTGCCACATTCCGTGTTGTAATGAGTAGTAGTTGAGCAAAGTGCTGGCATGTTGCGATTGACCTGAGGGGTATTTATTTCTTTGGAGAGGGCATATTTACTGATGTTTGCCCTTTAACTCGATTTAGTTGGAAGTGAATAGGCAGCAAAGCATCAGTCAAGACAGCAACAAGGATCACTTTCTTCAAGTGTCGTCTGATCGTATTACATCTGTGCTATGGAACCTGCCGTGACTGCAAATTGCTTCCTGAACCAAAATTAAACATTTCATCCAAGTCTCTCCTCTACCAATTGGCCCTCCTACCCTCTGCTGCTATCATGCCTCCACTTTGAATGAATGGCCACTCCAACGAGGGAAGCCTGCCCGATGCCTCTCGTACATGGCTTGCTGACTCCCACCTCTGGGCCTTTGAACAGCCCATCCTCTCTTGGGGAAATGCTTTTTCTTTTCCTCCTTTTCTCTCTCTCCCCTCCACAGGAAGCTTGCTCAATACTTACTCTTCTATGAAACCTTCTCTGACTGACCACTAGTGAACATCACTTGAATTTGTCTAGCATTCTTTTGATCCTTATGCCTATATTTGCATATAGCAGAATTAATCTTCACCTGGTTTGTGTGTGGGTTTGTTTTTTTTTGTCTTTTTCATGTATGTTGGTCCTCTCTTCCGATTTAGGTTATAAGTAACATTGTATAAACGGCACTCACTTCAGTGCTGGGCTCAGGAACTTAAATGATCAGCCAAACTGGCCTTATTTCTGCTCCTCACAGATAGCATTCTGTCTTCCATCTCTGTCCTTTTGCTCAGCTGTCCCCCCTGTTGGAAGTGTACTCCCTCCTTCCCCTCTGCTGTTTAGATTCCTAGTTTTCTTCAAAACTCAGCTCATATGTCATCTCCTACATGGGGCCCTTTCTGGTCTGCAAAGCTGGTGGTGCTTCCCCCCTTAAAAATGACATTCTATTCATTTTGAATATTATGTTTGCGTTTATTTCTATGTGTACATGCTCTTTCCCCTGATAGAATTTAAATTCCTGGAGGGGAAGGACTGTTTCATTTTTGTATTGTACCCCGGTGCCCATCACAGTTCTTGGTGGAGAGTTGGTACTTAACAGATTACGTGATAGTCTTGATTCACCACAAAAATTTGCCATAGATCAGTGACTTAAGCTCAGTTTTTTTTATGTGTAAAATGAGGAGATTGGGTTAGATCAGGGTTCTTAACTCAGGACCATGAGCTTGTTTTAAAAATATTTTGATGACTGTATTTCAAAATAATTGATTTCCTTTATAATCCTCCATATTTTCTATTGTGCATTTAAAAATGAGGTCCATTGGCTTTAGCAGATTGCCAGAGGAGTCCATGACATTTAAAAAAGAAAGGTTTAAGAACTCCTGGATTTGGAAGATAACTTCGAATGCTCCCATTCTGTGATGTGTGATAGCAAGAGATCACATGATCGATTTCTTCTTAATTTCCTATTATGCCGAATACAGTCTTCTGACCCATGCTTGACAGTGAGCAAATGTTGACTTAAAATAGCTGAAAAATGGTTTGGCAGAATGTCCTACTAGTCAAGAGTGATGAATGAACTCATCCACTCTCACCTCTTCTGCTATGAGGAAGGCCAGGAGAATCAGTGGTTAGACTTTTTGCGGCCTGATGGAGGCACTGTAGTGCACTTTCTCTGAATGGAGCATTGCTGAAACAAGATAAAATCCTTGGGAAATTTGGGGAAGAAACTCTTGTTACTGATTTTGAGTTGTTTTTTGGGGGGGGAAGGAGTGACTTTGCTCTATGCACAGGGACATGCTCCCTGTAGACATTTTGTTGCACAGTTAACCGGGTTCTTTTGTGGGCGCCCAGAGTAAGCTGTCAACTTAGGGGAAATCTCCATGATCATATATCATTAGCTTGAAATTGAGAATCAAGGTGAGTGATTGTTAAACATGTTCATGAACACAAAAAGCTGCATAGAAAATGAAAACAGTATACCACGTACCTAATAGTGAATACTTATTTTGATGGGTACCGAAACATGTTACAAGTAATATTACTTTTTAATGAGGATGATGAACAGTAGAAACAGTTTAGATTTTTAGAAACTGTATCCTTTGCCAAAGGAAGTTGGTTTGCTTCAGTGAAAATAAGAACAGATTTGTAGTCAGTGGCCCTAGCTAGGTTCAGATTCTAGATTGGTCAGTCACTACTTCTGTAATCTTGTTGCTTGACCTTTAAGCTTTAAACAATTACAAAACTAACCAATCAACAGGCATTTGTTAAGCTCTGATTATGTGCCGGAAGGGCTTGTGCTAGGTATTGGGGATTCAGATACAAAGAGTGAAACAATCCCTACTTTTCAGGAGTTTTTGATCTAATGGGCCTTAGAGATTGTCTGAAACTGCTTGTTGACAAATTCTTTTGTGGACCCTTGGAATTCCTCATGTTGTGAAGAGGTCTTAAATGACAAAGGATCAATGTCTTTCTTCTGAAATCTTAAATGTGAAATTATGTTTACACAAATATTTATCACGCATGGCAACTTTTCAGTATGAAAAGAGGATTTCTCTCCTATTAGAAAATTTGCTGGATCAGCACTTGTGGTCAACGATGATCTATTTCAAGCCTCAATTTCCCTAGCTGAGTTAGTTGGAAAAACACTGATATTGTCCAACTTATTGATTTTATAGATAGTGCAGAGGAGACTCAGAAAGCAAAGTGATCTGATCAGGGTTATATAGTTAATTAATTCTTGAATATTTTTGAAACGAAAACAGCCTTTGGAGAGAAAAAGAATTATAAGTAACTATTGCGGTAGCCATGGTGTTCATTCTCCTCTTTTTGTTTGAGATACAAGAGTATAACTGCTGGATTTCACTTTGAAAATTATGATTTTGAATATTTTCATGTTTTCTTCAACCTATGGAAAATATCATTACCAGGGTGGAAATAATGCCCTTTCCCCACTCCTGCCAAGGCTTGAATTTAAAGCAATTTTTTTATTATTAAAAAAAAAATAAAGCCAAGGTGTATATTGTGCCAGTAATGCTAAAATATATGCTTAAATGCTTTCATGGAAGAGCTTTCTTCATTAGAGAATAACAGCTTTTCAATCTTTGTACTGAAGTAGTTAGTAAACACCTTTCAGAGCAGTATTTCCGGTCTATTTTTTTACATAATCACACTTGGTGTATTGAAATAGTCTAGTTACAAAGGTGTTTTCCTCTTGCTTCTAGACTCTATGTTTTACTGTTTTCATGTTTAAGGAAGTGGTGGTTTAAGAAGTCACATCTAACTTATGTTTAAAAAATATTTTTGTGTTTCAGTGTCCCAAGAGCCTTTTCTGATCAATTCCAGTTCCCGAAAAAAAGCATTTGGTAATGGTGAAGCTTCCATGGCTCTGCTGTGAGCTGTGGTAGACCAGGAGTGCAGAGGTGTGATGTCCACTAGCAAAAAGGGTAAGTTAAGAAGCTTTCTTTTGAAGTCTGATGTGTCTATTGGTGTTAATATTAAATGAAAAAAAAAATTCTTGTAGCGAAGGACTAAAAAACACTCACTGCAGAAAGTATACAAAAGGCCCAACATTATCTGAGTTTCTGGCTATCAAGAATGTAATCATCATATTGAAAGAAGTGGATGCTAAATACACTTTGGTTATATTGTTTTCTTGAATAGGCGTAGAGTTCATTTATAAGGGAGGCATCATGGCAGACTTAACCAGCCATCGTAGCTGACAGTTAAAGATGACAAGTGAAAGACTTTGTTTTTTAAATTCAAGACTCATGGCTTGACTTTTTAAATGTACCACATGCAAAATAGAACAAGCTGTTGTCCCTTAGTTTCCATTACAACTCAGTGATAGACGAAGATCATGGCATGCTCCAAGCCTTCTAAATTTTCCTGTCACCCTCCTAAGCAATGAAATGTGAACGTTTTGGGGGGCTGGGATGGGTGAAATTTAAAACTAACATTTCCCCTTGTGGAGAATTCTCTCCAAAGCTTTTAAGTTCCTGGGACTCAGAAAAAGACCTTAGTGACTAGATCCTTGGAAGCTTTAATGTTTGGGAGCTCTCTTAAAGGAACAGAGTATTCCTTTCTTTTTCTAACTTGATGTACTCAGTAAACTACCTTATCCAATGTTAGAATATTAGAAATAAATTGGTGAAAAGAAATCCCCCCATGTATATTGAAAAGATTTGGACACCGTCTTTAATGCTACCTTGAAAGACAGCATAACAAAGTATATAGAGTGCTGGAAGCCCCTATTTTTTTCTATTTCCTATCAGTGTGACTCTGGGTAACTTCTCTGGGCTTCAGACAACTCTGACTGAGCTTATAGATAGGTTGTAGTCTGATGGTGGAGAGTTTGATACTGATGAAATCATAAATCCTTGACCTATTGAGATACTATCTTCATAAAGTACTAAATAATAGACTTAAATAACATCCTTTTGTAAAATTCTTGATAATTGGTTGGAGCTTAAGTGGCTACTGTGTGTGTTTTTTGAAAGTCCTTGTGTCTTTTGATAACAATTCTGATCATGTGGCTTTGTCAGTGTTATGAGGTTATATTCATGGACTCATTTTGTCAGCACTGGTCTTTGAATTGCTAATGTCAGAAACCGGTGTTAGTAATTTGTCATATTTAATTGTAGGTGCCTGTAAAAAATAAGTTTTATTTAATTTTAGGCAGTGTGGTGTACTGGACTTGGATTCAAATTCTACCCATCTTTTAACTCTCTTTACAACACATTTTAAAAATGAATTTTATGTAATTTTAGATTTGAATGTGATGTCAGAAATCATCCCATGAACATTTCACAGACACAGAGGACCGGAGAAGTTCTGTGCTGCTCAGTATCGTATATCCAGAGGATCCAGCCCTTTTGGGTCTGAATTCCTATGATTTTAATGGAGCAATTTTGTAATCTACCTGCCTGTAATTCAAACTCCAGTATGCTAGAAAAGATTATATGAGTATCCTTAATAGTGTTGTATCTTTACTGTAAAGGAATGAGACAAATAGAAAATTTTCCTTTTTAAGAAAAATTAGATATTAATGAAAAGGAACTTAGATCCATTTTTGGATATGCCTTTAGATCAATTTAAAAAAAAAAAGCAAACGTTTGAGATAATTCAGTCCACTCTGCTAATCTTCAAGGTGATGAAAAGAAACTCAGAAAGTCAAAGGCTTTTGAAAGTCCCATAGCTAGCTAACAGCAAGGCCAAGAGTGGAACCCATATCTCCTGTGCCTTTAACAAGAAGTAATGGAAACTTTATTGAGTGTTCCTGGAGATGAATGTTGACCAAAATTAGCCCTTCTGTGTTCATTTGTGTGCCAGCTTTCTGTATTCGGAACAAAATACCATGTAAGCACTAGAAAAACACGGAATTTCCCCATTAGCCAATACAAGGTTTTAAAAAGTTGTTGTTTTGCCTAGGTAGCATGAGTAACATGTTATTTAGCAATAATTATAGTAACTGCTCATTGTTTTACTGACTGGAAGAGTGAGCAGTTGAATAAAGCCATATAGCATTGCCTGCATATCAGAAAGTTTCCTCCTGGAACGTTCTTACGAGTCTAAGTAAGAAAGTCTGAAAACTCTACTGATTGGCAGTATCTTAGTCCAGTATCTTTTATTCCAGATAGTGCATTCTAAAGACTCCTGGGTTTTGTTTTCAGGCCTTCTTTTCATCTCACTGTCCCTTGAACTCTCCTATATGTTTTGTCTCCCCTATTTAGAAAAGAAGCTCTGGGAGAGCAGTAACCATCTCACTTTTGTATGTGTATTTCCAGGGCTTAGCAAAGTGTTTGTTTGGTGCAGAGTAACTTAATAGATAACTTTTTCATCCTATTTGGAGACTGTTTGTTTAAAAAAAAGTGGTTCTTGAAGTGGTTTACAACAACTGTTTAAATTATTCTATCAGTTAATAAGCCTGTGTGGTTTTTTTTTTGAGCATTTATTAGTAGAGAATGGGGTGAAATGGAAAGAAGACAGCCCTGGAATCCAAAGCCCTAGATTTCAGGCCTGGCTTGGCTTCTGACTTTGTGACTTTGATTGTCATTGAAGCTCTTGGGTCTTTTGTTTCCTCATTTTAAAATAAAAGCGTTGGACCATATGGTCTTTAAGGTAGCCCTTTCAGCCTCAGAATTGTGTGATCCTAGTATAGGTTAAACAGAATATATCCATTCTAACCACTGGGATTCCTCACTCAATTAACCAGGTAGCATTTTGTGGAAGCCTAACAAATGTTAGGCATAGGAAATTGGAATGGGGCATTGGAAATATAGAGACAAAAATGAAATAGGCCCTGACTTCAAGAAGCACACATTCTCTTAGGAAAAAGATAATAGGGACATGGATATTATAGATTGGGACTGGATCTGTGATTTCACTGACATAGCTAACCTCCAGGAAGGGGAAATTCACTCCATGAATGCAGGTTGGCCCGTTCTCTACCTCTCAAAGGCTTAGAGGATTATGTAGATTATTGCTTATGAGTAGGTGTCAAAAGCAGGCTATAAACCCAGCTTTACCCTACTCCATGGCCAACTCTATCCATGATGTCACACTTCCTCTCATTTAAATAAATATAGACCATATATAGTCAAAATAAATACAAAGCAACTATGAGAGGAAGGGTTCCAGAAGAGAATGCTGCCAGACAAGACTGTCAAAGGTGATCCTTGAATTCAGTTAAAAAATTATTTTTAACATTCTTTTTAAAAAAATTTTGAGTTCCAGATTCTCCCCTGCCCTCCCACACCTTCACCACCCACTGAGAAGGCAAACAAAATGATATCAATTACCAATGTGAAATAATGCAGAACATATTTCCATATTAGCCATATTGCAAAACACAAAGCATTTACACTCCAAGTTCATCAGTTCTCTTTCTGGAGGTAGATAGCACTTTTTCATTACGAGTCCTTTGGAACTGTCTTGGATCACTGTATTGATCAAATAGCCAAGTCTTTCACAGCTGATCATCATTACGACTGTGCACAGTGATCTCCCACTTCTCACTTCTCTTTGCATCACTTCATATAGGTCTTGCCGTATTTTTTTGAAACTACCTTCCATCATCATTTCTTATATATAGCACAATAGTACTTCATTCCAATCATATGCCACAACTTGTTTAGTCTCATTCCCCACATGATGGCCATCCCCTCAGTTTCCAGTTTTTTGCCACTGCCGAAAGAGCTGCTATACATATTTTTGCACATGTACGTCCTTTTCCTTTTTCCTTGATAGCTTTGGGGTACAGACCTAGTTGTGGTATTGCTGGCTGAAAGGGCATGTATAGTTTTATAGCTCTCTGGGCATAGTTCCAGATTGTCTTCTAGAATAGTTGGATTAGTTCACTACTCCATCAAGAGTCATTAACATACTTGCTTGTCCTCATCCCCTCCAGATATTTGTCATTTTCGATAGGTATGAGGTGGTACCTCAGAGTTGTTTTAATTTGCCTTTCTCTAATCAGTAGAGAGAATAGTTTCTAAAAAGTGGCTGTTCATATCCTTTGACCATGTATCAGTTGGGGAATGGCTCTTATGTTTTTTAAATTTGACTTATTTGAAAAATGAGGCCTTTATCAGAGAAATTTGCTGTAAAATATTTTGATATTGTTTCATTTTCTACCATACCTTTGAACAAAATATGCTTTCCCTGATTGTCTATTTCAGTTAGTCTGTTTTTGCTTTTGCTTTGTCTGAGATCATGATTGCCAACCTTGAATTGAGTCTTGAAGGATACCAGGTTGAAGTGAAGTTGAGTGGAGGGGGTTCCAAGCATGAGAGATAGACAGGACAAATGTAGAAAGTCAGGAGATGGAGTGTCGTATGTGAGAAACAGTAAGTTAGAGGCGTGATAGTTTCTCTGTTTCTGTTTGTCTGTCGTTCCCATACACATAGAAGTGGTTAAGATTCTGAAAGTGTAGAAAGAACATTTTGATCAAAGTAAGTTTCTTGGTTACTTGTCATCTCTGTGTCTGTGGCATTGAGAAAGTGTGACTCAATTTCACTATTACAAAATGGATTTATGAAGTGTACAAAACCACATGAATGGATTTACTGTCTACTGGACCAATTTTACTCATTTCAGTTGAGTGTAGAAGAATAGTTTAAATATTTTGCAAATATGACTACATTTCCAATGTTTCTAGTGAATAAAATATACCATCTGAAGGATGATGCTAACAGTTTGTAGTAAACATTTGCTGACACTTTTCCATAGCACTTCAAAATTGATAAATCACTTTCCGTATATATTTTCATTTCTAGCACACCCTGTGAGGTGCTCACTTTTACATATAGGGAAACACTCTCAGAAAAGTTATGTGAATTGTTCAAGGTCACACAGACAGTGTCAGAGGTGGGATGCAAACCCTCACAGTCTTGG